CGGCTTAGTGTTTTATTTGGCGTGAACAACAGCATGATTCCACGCTAGTTCTTGCATAGGCCTAACTAAGTCGCCCTTTTTTGGCAGTTTGGCGAGGTAGCCCTTCCTCCAATTCAGAGGCACCTATCCTTCTTACCAAACGTTTTGTAGTAATGGAGTGAGGACATCTGCTGTAATCTCTTGGGCCGTCTTCAGTGCTTCGTGAGGAATGACGTCTGGTCCTGCTGCCTTCCCGGACTTCAGTAGTTTGATCACATCCAGGAATTCTTCTTTCGTTAAAAATTGGCGTCCACTGGCATTTCCGTGTGTTCTGGTGGTGGTATTTCTAGGAGAGTTGCCAATGGTGGTCTATTCAAAAGTCTTTTAAAGTCCTTTAATCAGCCAATTTTTTTTATTTATTTCTCCCCCTTGGTGATCAGGTTCCCTTGATCATCTTTTATTGGTTTCATCTGGGTTGGTCTCTTCCCGGATAGAGACTTGGTTATCTGATATAGTGTCCTGTTGTCTCTTTCTCCTGCGGCCTGTTATGCTTCAGTTGCCGGTGTGTCGTAGAATTTTCGTTTGTCTTTTCTAGCACTTTTCGTCACTTCCTTATTTAGTACAGTGTACATTGAACTCAGCTTCTCCTTCTGTTGTTCTTCTCTGCATTGAGTCATCTCTTACACCATCGTCCTCTCCTCTCCTCTCCTCAGTCAGCTTCCAGGTTGGTGTCCGTTGAGAGCCATTCTTTGTCGTGTCACTTCTTTCTTCCTAGAACAGTTGTACACATTTCATTGAACATCACCATCAGAGAGGTAGTTCCAATGTCCTTCAACACAGGTCTCCTCAGTGAAACCACATAGTGTCTACGAATTTGCTTTGATTTGATCTGTAGCGAAGGTTTCCCCTGTAGTTTTGTCCTTCAGTTTCTGAGTGTTGAACTTGAATTACGATTGCCTGTCTTCATTTGTTTTCATGGATTTCAGACTCACCTTGAAGGTTCCTTGAACTAGGTGATGGTCTGAGCCCACATCTGTCCCACTTCTCGACTCTGTATCCAGCAGGCTGCGTCTCCACTTCCTTGACATTGATATGAAATCTCTATGGTTTGTGGTGTGTCTCTCAGGTGGAATCCATGTTGCTTTGTGTATATCCTTGTGTTTGTATACGCTGCCTCCAATCAACAAATCATTGTAAGCGCAGAAGTCTGCAAATAATTATCCGTTCTCATTCATTTCTTTGGGTGAGAGCCTCTCGACCCATGATGAGTCCTCCTCCTGTATTATCTGCTCCTAGTTTAGCTTGCATTCATATCGCCCATAAGGATTTTGATGTCATCATTTGAGATGTTGTCCATTACTGTTTGTAGTTGTCTGCAAAAGTCTTCCTTCATATCTCGTTCCGCATTGTTTGTAGTACTGCGCGTAGTATTGGATGTTTACAAGCGAGTAATCTCAATTTGATAGGAATAAGATCAATAATTAGATTAATATGGATTAATAATACCGAAGCTCTGATTAAATTCTGGGAAGAGAAGAAAACGGTTGATTTACACCAGTTTAATTAATTGTTATCAATAAAATATTTGGTAGACTATGGTATATTAACTTAAAGAGTCTCAAGGTAGAGTAATGTATACGAGTGAATAAAAAATTACTAACACTCCTAAGATGCCTATCTTACGTAGATACTATCACTTTCTGAAACTGCAGTATTGTCAACGATATTTTTCATTAGGAAAACACATAAATTACCTCAAACAACGTTTTAGGGAAATAACCCCCGAGTCCAATGTACCGATAAATCAGTATGTCTATGCCTGTTACTTCCTTGTTTTTAAAATATGAACTACATTACCAATTAACCTTGATGTATTGTCAAGTTTCTACGTAGCCTAAATACATCTTGGATTTTATTTTAAAAGACTAGTATTTACTTATGATTCACTCGGTGAATCAAAGTTCAGGGGGTTATACTAAGTCAGATCATATAGAATAAGAAAAAACTGCATTCTCTGTATCAGAACAGGTTGGTAACTAGTGATATTTGTTTATCAAGTGTAAAGATTTTACGTTTTACTGTCTTGAAAGTAAAATCCATCGTTTCAGTCACAGGCAGACAGCATGGTTGAGAATGTCAAAACCAGCCATGATCGGAAAGAAAAGACAAACCGTTATGAATCTGAAATCAGTGAGGAAATTTTTTCACTAAGCATAATGAATAAGATCCAGATTTTTGGCACCACTGTTAGGTCAGTTAATTCTTCTAAATGGGTCAGAAACTTGGCGTGTCACGAAAATAATTTCTAACAGGTTCGTGCAGACGTTTAGCAGTAGCTGCCTTCTCTGGCACCACACTGAAGATCAAATGACAGACCAAAAAGAATAAGCCATACAGAATTCCGGTAACGCATCAATGAAAAACCTGTTGTTCAACAAATGTGGTGGAGAAAATGGAGATCTGACACATGGTGACGAAACCGTCGAGTGACATCGCGCGCCGGGCCCTCTTTTGAGTGGAACTTGAATAGGAAACGACAAGTTGGACATGATTCGAAGGGTGGTAATCAAGAGATCGTGTGAGGAGGAGATGAGAGCCAATGGTCAATCGTAGGGCCAACTGAAGAGGACTACAGAAAACAGGACGAATGGAGACTTGCCGTTGAAGCCCTCTATTCCACTTGGAACCCAACGGAGTGATAACAGTAATGGTGGGTTTGACTAAATAGAACTGTGTGTGATCATTTTCACCTACTTTCATTTTTCTTCAATTAATCGGGTCCTTTTGTAAACAGAAAAATATTTTGATGCGTTAGTTTGGGTCATAAAAGATTATCAAGGGTTTGAAAATTATCTCACATGAATCAAACTAGTATATATCAATGATTCTAGAGAGTCTGTGCTAAAACAACAAGATATGTGGATTTTAGGTTAAATTTGGTTATAACGTAATTCACATTTGCAAACTAGTTTAAAAACAGAAACCTATTTAAAAACAGTGACAAACAAACCATGAATTTTCTCAGCTAGGGTTTTATGTTTATTTTCGGACCGAGCCTCAGAAAGAGGAGGAAGTAATCCTTATTTTCCTCTCCTTTATAATCCCCTACTGAGTCAGTAACCCAGCCGAGAAAAAAACATCTTAGAACGCAGATACCATGAAAATGGACAAACCAAGACAGGTATCTTGTTAACGAACCCCTGCTGTCCAGGCTCAACTCCACTAGGAGTTGCTTCTCAGACGGCACATTACTTGCCCATCTCAGTGGGTCATGAAAACCTTCATAGGAAAGTCTCACGAAAAGAGTACCTTAAATGCTGACGATAATCTCCGGTGGATCTTTGTCCGTAGGCCAAAGTGGCACGAATAAGAAAATTCTCTCTAGGAGGCTAGTGATGTAACATTACGAAACTGTCCTGTGGCTCCCCTCATACTCAACAAAGTCCATGAACTAGGTTCACATCTAATCCACCAGTAGCCTGAATACTTCTCTTTCTAGAGATAATGTTCATACACTTCCTCTCGGGATGAAAGTACATAAGTGATTAGCTGCCCTTCTGAGGCTGCGTGCCAGGAGCGCGGGCAGATACTCTCACGGCAACATTGCTCTCATTTAATCATGAGCGGCACCCTGACACTTGCGTGTCCACGGAACTGGAGGTCGCGCCACCAACCTTCGTTGTAAGATCTCGCTGGACAGTTTTGAAGGCCATGACCAATCAAACGCGACCAATTACATGCCATTTACTCTCAGTCTATAGGAGATGCAACCCGTAACCAATCGCGATCTGGCGAAACCCTTAAGGCCACCATTCTCGAGTGAGGTAGTTTCAACCGTGATCTTCTCTCATGTCATCTAAAAGGTTCGAATCAAGGTGCTCATAAAATTTTTGAATTAGGGATACGAGACTCTCATCAACAGCTTACTCACTCGGGTTTCACACTCAGGCTTGCAATCTCACCAACCCCCGACCAAACCACTAAGACATTGAAACACTTCAGAGATACCTCAAATGGAGTAGCGGCATGGATGGCATTCTCCGTGCTTGAGAAATAACTCACTCTCGCCCAGACAGAATCTCACCAAGAACCCTTTACTACAAGTCATATGTGAAGGTATCTGTCAGTGTAACTAAACTCGGGTCAAACACCGTGCCACACCCACACAGTTACTCAGAGATGCGGTGAGGCATTCGACCACCTTAGAGAGTCATGGTTACTCCCAACATGGACAGATAAGATGGGTGACCGCACAAATTTTTCCTGCACGTTTTGTGGTTTATTTCTACTGTTAATATCGATTTCGTTTTGGGACGTCTAAATATCACATCGGTTTTATGTAACAAAAAATTAAGTTGTGATTTCGCTGTACAAAATTATTTTCTGATTAGATGGTTTTAACTTTTATCAAGAGTTGAATTGTAAGGATTAGGTTTATTTTTCGAGTTAAACCATGGATTGCTATCAGTTAGAGAACCATTGAAAGCCACGGCGTACTGGACAGCTGTTTCATCCTAGTTTGGAAATCATCGGCAATTCGTTCCCACTAGGGTTCGAACCCAGGACTTTCCCGTTACAAGGCAAGCTAGTATACCATTCAGCCGCTGGAACCCGATCAAAAGCCCGTGAATTCTAACTTCTGTTAATTCGTGATTTAGCGCGACCACCAACCAATGTCATCGGCGGGAAATCCATCCTCACACTTGACTGGATGTACCTTACTGGTAACGACTTCTCACTTGAACTCCAGGCGTACTGCCGATGATTCCTAAACTAGGATGAAACAGCTGTCCAGTACTCCGTGGTTTTTAATGGTTCTCTAACTGATATCAATCCGTAGTCAAACTCGATTAACTTTTATAACAATGCATGTATTGAATGTTGGAAAAGATCTTTGCATTGTCTGTTCGTTTCAAGAAATTTAATTTATAAAATCATTAAAAGACATACCGTAAAATCTAATCCACAGTCGATGACGTAGGACACATCATCAAAAGTCATGCATGATTCTGCAATATTTGATGAAAGTATCTAGAAGGTAAACATAAAAGATTGTGAAAAATATCTTCACTAGAATTTTATTCTGAAATTCAAATTCGTTTTATGGTTAAATAATATATAGATTGTTGCACTTCTCTACACTGCAGACTGAATTTTGTCAGACACGTTTGCAACAAGGCATCCATGCCAGTTAGCTTACCGTCACAGTGCACTTTGAATTCTTGTTATTAGATGTTTGGAGACAATCGGTAGAAAGCATTGTACAAAGGTTTCCTGCTTATTGGCACTCATCAGCAAGGCGTGTCTGCAATCTTTAAGGAGCTCATGTCCCTTCTGAGATTCCAACCCGTGCCACTCAATGCTACAGTCAGTATCCTGTTCAGCAATACATTATTGTGAACTCTTTAAATTTATTGATTTTGTTATGTAAATATATCTACTGGATAATGATTGTGTTATGTCTGCGCCTGCTGACTGGTAATGAACTCGAGTGGTACCCTAATATGCCCATTTTCCCCTTTGTACCTTCCAATTCACTGAACCACGCAAGTATCA